TTTTGCTTATGTGTCAATACAATAGCTTTTCTCACAACATCTAAATAAAAGGTCTTCCTTTACTAGATTAATTACAGAATATGCCATTGGTCATATCAATTATTTATGTCACTTAAAAATATTCTTAAAACATTAATTGATATACTATGTACATATCAAATCGATTTAACATTATGACTCCAAAATAAATTCACTTGCTATCAATTTTAAAGGTTCATATTTTGTATTATATTGTTTTGTAAACCATATCAAAATATATTGTNCCATTGGTCATATCAATTATTTATGTCACTTAAAAATATTCTTAAAACATTAATTGATATACTATGTACATATCAAATCGATTTAACATTATGACTCCAAAATAAATTCACTTGCTATCAATTTTAAAGGTTCATATTTTGTATTATATTGTTTTGTAAACCATATCAAAATATATTGTTTTGTAAACCACATGAAACTTTATTTTATATTTTGATGACCTTAAAATCACGTGGAAATGTTTTTGGCTTAAACCACATTGACATCATCGACCATATGTATTCATCACTAAGAAAACACTGTGATATATATATATGTGGTATGTTGTTCATCACACGTAAATCTTTCTTCATATCACATATTGACTATATATATCATATTGTGTGCATAAATCATTAAAACATGAATTTGTAAAGGGAAAATTCCTTAAAAATACACCAACTGAGTTTCTTTTGCTAAAAAAATACATCAACTTTTTAGACTTCCCAAAAAATACACAGAGTAATTTTGGTTGTCTACAAAATACATGAACTTTTGAATTTTGAAGGTTTCACACCTCGATTTTAACGGCGTTAACTCTGATTAACAGAACATTTAGACGCCGTTAGACGCTGTTAGACGACGTTAACTCTGATTCAAAAGTTCATGTATTTTGTGGACAACCAAAATTAGTCTGGGTATTTTTTGGGAAACCAAAAAAGTTCGTGTATTATTTCAGCAAAGAAAATTTAGTATGTGTATTTTTAAGGAATTTTCAAAATTATACTAAGGTGGCAAAGACATTGATTTTTTTTGTTTGACTGAAAAATGTAATTTTTGAATATATTTTGTTCATACTGAGGCCGGTTTTTCTAGGGTCAGTTTGGATCTATATTTAAAATACGTGTAAAATACCAGCAATTTTTGGATATGTATCATGTAATAGAGAATGTGTTTTTGTTTGGGTCTTTGGGTTGGGTTTGGGTCGGTTCTTTTCGGATCTAAGATATCCAGATCTAAGAACCGGCCCAAACTCGACTCAAAGAACTGAACAAAAACACATTCTCTTCCACATGATACAGATCCAAAAATTACCGGTATTTTCCACGTATTTTAATTATAGATCCGAACTGATCCTAAAAAGACCGACCTCAATATGAACAAAATGAAGAAAATATAAAGAAGCCAAAAAACACATTGTTCATATTAATACTCACGTATTTTAATATATTTTGAACAATGTGTGTATTAATATGAATAATGTGTTATTTGGCTTCTTTATATTTTGTTCATTTTGTTCATATTGAGACCAGTTTTTCTAGGATCAGTTCAGATATATAATTAAAATACGTGGAAAATACTGGTAATTTTTGGATATGTATCATGTGGAAGAGAATGTGTTTTTGTTCAGGTCTTTAGGTCGGGTTTGGGCCGGTTCTTAGATTCGAAAAGAACCGGCCCAAACCCGACCCAAAGACCCAAACAAAAACACATTATGTATTATATTATACATATCCAAAAATTACTGCTATTTTACACGTATTTTAATTATAGATCCAAAAATTACATTTTTTCGTCAAACAAGAAAATCAATGTCTTTTCCACCTTAGTATATTTTTGAAAATTCCTTAAAAATACACATACTAAATTTCTTTGCTGAAAAAATACACGAACTTTTTTGGTATCCCAAAAAATACACATGCTAATTTTGGTTGTCCACAAAATACATGAAGTTTTGAATTAGAGTTAACGTCGTCTAACGGCGTCTAAATGTTCTGTTAATGAGAGTTCACGCCGTTAAAACCGAGGTGTGAAACCTTCAAAGTTCAAAAGTTCATGTATTTTGTGGACAACCAAAATTACTCTGTGTATTTTTCGGGAAGTCTAAAAAGTTGGTGTATTTTTTTAGCAAAAGAAACTCAGTTGGTGTATTTTTAAAGAATTTTCCCATTTGTAAATAAGATTACAAGAAATGAAAATACGTACACGAAATTACTTGGTAAGACGGAAGTACTATATATAAATTATTTATTATTGGTTCATATCAAATGTAATTGACAAGTTGAATATTTAAAACATTTATTTGAAGATTTAAGTTGGAAACACCAAAAATAAAACTAGGCATAACTTACGAACATCTAAATAATATGGATCACATAATATTTGTAATGTATTACCCTTAATTATTAGTCTAAAATGAAATTGAATTGTAGCTACAAAATTGTATCATATTTGATATAGTTACCAAATCACATTAAATTGGCATGATTTAGGCTTAATTAGCAAGATTCTATACACAATATTCGTGTTTTAATTTAGGCTTTAATTAGGGGGATTTTGATGTTTTATGCAAAAAAAGATTACCAATGAAGATTCAGATTGAGAAGGACCGAGAATACTTTATCCAATTTTGTTGTTATTATCCCCTATATATTAAAATATAATCATTTAAAAATTATAACTTTAAGTTTGTAATAATAAAAAATAACCCTAATCTTATGTGGTATAGATCTTTGTCTTCTATTTTAATTTAGAAGGATTCTAGAGCGTATAATATACTGTATACTCTAAAAATTATACTGTCTAGCAATATAATATTTCGTAGGCTATAGTTGGTCGCATATATCAAATATTTATTGTTTCGCATGCTTTCCTTAAATAAAACTAACGGAATTACCTAATATGATTAAACTATATATATGAAAATTAATGATTTTAATCAATAAAGATTTGATAATAATCTGTATACTTTTTCTCATTTTGTTTATTTCTTTATTATTAAAATAAATTACACAATTACATTAATCATATAATAAAAATCTAGATTTTATTTTGTGTATGTTGTATTTCGAATTTTTCAAAATGAGTATAAATTACTAAAAATTTTAAATTTCTCACATAAACTTTTAGGATCAAGGTTTTAATTTTTTTTATATTAAAATATAATGATTATAAGACCATATAAAAAAATAATAATTTTAGTTTATATATATTTCATATCGTTTTATTTAAACTATACATCGTATGCAAATACATACTTATATTTTGATATTTACATTGAACATATATTGAAAAGTTAATATTTGAATTTTGAAATAAGTCATTGTTTTTTTTCTAAAATGATTATAAATTATTGAAACTATTAAACATTTCATATTAAAAAAAAATCGTTTGTGTAAAGTTTTGTTACACAAATATGCAAATAATCATAAAATAGTATGAGTAGAAACCTCATTTAATAAATATCCATATTAAAAGTGTGCTATATTACTATGTTTATATCATTTAAATTTAATTATATATCATATATAATATATAAGATTGATTATTTTGATTTATTTACCCTAATTGCGAATAAATAAGAGTGATAGTTAAATTTATATGCATACGCCAATTTATTACATAATAGTAATTGATTTATTAGTTATTTAATATATATTTTTATTTTATTATTTTATAATATGCAGAAAAATATAAAATAAACAATAAATATAAAATACTTATTGTGCATAAAGTGCATATCTTAACCTAATCAAAACAAACAAACGAAATGAGAATAAACTTCAAAATAAATATTTATATCAAGTAATAATCAAAATAAAAAAAAACACAACAAGATAAAAAATTGAAGACAAATAGGATTGACACGTGAACGTAAACTTCTCATAACCATAATTAATTTTTAAATTGTTAAATCATGATATAAAATTTCGTTAACTTTTATCTTTTTTAATCATTATGGTTATGTTAAATCATGACCATGATTAATTTTAAATTGTTTATTTGTATTTGAAAAACTTAAAATATTATTTTTAAAAATAATTTAAAATTTAACTTAATTTTTTTATAAAATTATTTTTCTTAAAACAAAATTTGTAAGAATATAATTTTCTAACATTATTAGACAAATAAATAAGTTATATTAAATTAGTTTGGAAACTTTATATATTTTAAATGCAAAATTTTTACACGGCTTCTTAAGAAAACATTATGGAACTTGCTAATATTCTACCAATCAAGTCCAGTGACATTCCGTTTATTTTTCATCACTCGAACACTAAAAAGTGAAAAAATATATGAAATTGGGTCCATTAAATTCTAAACTTTGATCTACATTTCTAATTACAATTATTTCTGATCATACGTATAGATAATTATATAAAATTCTAAAATTCTAAAATTTCAAATACATATAAAAACAATTATATGTAAAATTTAAATTTGTCAATACTAAAATTTTATATTTTATTTACATACATTCACCCTGCGCAAGGCGCAGGTATTATCCTAGTGTTTCTGTAAACTTTCATAAGACCAATAGAATGGAGAAATGTGTTTCACGATTACTCAAACATGTGTTCTTTTAGCATTATATATTTAATATTTGTTAATATATTGACCCTCAGCTTTCAATATAAATTTCGCAAAGCTAAGTGAAAGGGGGGAACAAATAACTCTTAAACTTATTCAAATTGTTTATGATTGTTTGGTGACGTATACATATATTAAGATATTATATAGTCTAATCTTTTACATAAAGGCCAGTGTTTATACGGCGTATATAAACAGAACACTACTGATAAAATCACATAAATTTCCCAATCTTAGTCGTAGAATAAAAGATTGCTTGTGGAAACGAAGACATATTTTATAAAGAGTCAGAACCAAACATAAATTACTCTCTTTTTTTTGACAGCACCAAACATAAATAACTCAAATTGTATATGTATGAATAGTATATATGTTTATGTAAACTTGCATAAGACCAATAGAATGGAGAAATGTGTTTCACACTCAAACATGTGTTCTTTTAGCATTATATATTTAATATCTGTTAATCTATTTTAAATCTAAATTACCCAAAATAGGAAAGAAGCATAAATGAATTTGTTCAAAAAACAAAAGAAAAAAAAAACTAATGCGTATGCATTCTTCAAAGAGGAAATAGTGATGCAAGATCTCTTATTATGCAGTGCTTTCTTGACCATCTTAGAACATTTTTGTGCTGGAGAATTACTTGTGTTGACACCACTTGGACCTGCTCCTGTATTTGGTACTAAGTTGGCACCAGGCATATCATCTCCTTTATCATGGTCGCGGCGCTGTAAGTCAAAGATAGAATATACATAGTACTTACGTTGTCAACATATGCTGGGAGTGACATACGGTCACGTTCATTAAGGATGTGTGAGATGGTGAAAGCCTGATGATTCGCTGTGAAGCTGTAGGTGCTAACCCAGACCTGGAATGTGTAGGTCTTACCTTCCATGTCTGTAATAAAATGGGAGATCTGTGCATCCTCCGGGTTCACACCCTCTCCAATCTAAGTAAGAAATGGTAGATCAAAATTGTATTGAGAATATAGTCAGTTCAAACGATCATATGAGATGGAATATTCAAGTACCAATAGATGACCAGCTTCATATGCTCTCATTATGCAATTTCGCCATTACCACTTCAAAATAGTCAAATATACTCTCAGCAGTATCATCAGCAACGACCATCTCCACACGATAGCTATAAGACAGTGAATGTGTACAAAAAGTCAAGACCAACACATGATACCAAAATGAATGTAAACAACATGCTACAGGATTATACATACCAAATATGAACGAATTAAAACAGAATCATCTTAATAAAGATCGAAATCTTAAGAACACTATTAACATGAGTCTATGAACAGAATCACATTAAGAAAGAAGCATAATCAATAAAAAACTATAAACTCATATGAACATGAGTTAGGAACACTTTAAACATGAGTTTAGTTTGAGAACAATATGAACATGATTTAAAAAACAGAATCATCATAATTATGATGAAAGTTTAAGAACATACTATTAACAGGAGTTCACAAATAGGAAGACCTAACAAAGATCTAAATTCAATACAGTGATAATGTTGAGATTACACGCCGGAATAGTTAAACCTAACTATGAACATGAATTCAAGAACAGTATGAACATGAGTTTAGAAAGAAATACCTTTGAACCCAGTAAGAGCATATCCAAGCCCATCAGCTTCCCAGAATCCGATCAATCTCACCTCCATGACTGAAGAACATCGGCCTGACTTCAAATCGGAAAAAAGATTGATGAATTAGCCATATCTGAGAATAAAAAAAATTGTTTACTGTTTTCACACAGTTCAGTTGATGATGTTCAAGGAAATAAAAGTTTACCTTTTATATGAGTAGAGAGACCGCCTTGCAGAGGAGTAAAGTGAATTCAATAACATATCGTGCTCAAAGAGAGGTGATGGAGTTAAGGAGCATGAAAAAGGGGAGGAATCAATCAAGAGAAAAGTTTATGTTTATCTGAAGAAAAGACAGAAAGCCAGATCGAAGATTTACAAAGCGGTTATTAAAGTTGATTGAAGATATATCAGAGATTTGAAGAAGAATACTGTTCATTTATTTTGTGGAAGAAGAACACGTAACGTAATCTTGCGGCTGGTAAATGTCTTTGGGCTGAATCAAGAAAATAAACATAAAGCCCACTAAATGATAAGAGACACAAAACTGAAACACATCAGCCCATACTTTAAATTAACCGGTGAGTTTTGGCTAGAGAAGACATGTGTCGTGCTCTAGGAGCATGAATTAGTGACGTGGACTTCCAAGAGGGAAATCTTTTATGATTAAAAATTTAGATAATTGGGGTTTTGTCTTAATTTAAAGAATGTTTTGATATAAAATCAGTTTACCAAAATTTTTGATGATGATTGTTTTTCATTAGTTTTTAGTTTCAATTTTTATTTTTAGATTTTTTTTTTAGATTTAGCTTTTTTGGGTTTTAATTTTTAAGTTTCTATTTTTTATTTCAGCTTTTGGTTTGAATTTTTAATTTTTAGATCTGCTGAGTTAGTTTGAACTGACATTACCCAAATTTTTTATGATTAAAAATGTATATAATTGGAGTTTTGTCTTAATTTAAAGAATGTTTTGGTATAAAATCAGTTCACCAAAATTTGTGGTGATGATTGTTTTTCATTAGTTTTTAGTTTCAATTTTTTATTTTTAGATTTTGTTTTATATTTTGATTTTTTGGGTTTTAATTTTTAAGTTTCTATTTATGATTTCAGCTTTTCGTTTGAGTTTTTAATTTTTAGATCCGCTGAGTTAGTTTGAACTGATACTACCCAAATTTTTTATGATTAAAAATTTATATAATTGGGGTTTTGTCTTAATTTAAAGAATGTTTTGGTATAAAATCAGTTGACCAAAATTTGTGGTGATGATTGTTTTTCATTAGTTTTTAGTTTCAATTTTTATTTTTAGATTTTGTTTTAGATTTTGATTTTTTTGGTTTTAATTTTTAAGTTTCTATTTATGATTTCAGGTTTTGGTTTGAGTTTTTAATTTTTAGATCCGCTGAGTTAGTTTGAACTGATATTACCAACAAACAAATCTCAATTAATCCGCTGAGTTAGTTTTTGGTTTTGGATTTTAGTTTTTAGATTTGGTTTTTGGTTTTGCTTTACATTTTTTTTTTAAATCTGTAAATTATTTAAGAAAAATAAAAAAATAAATTATTTAAAAGTTACCATTAAAATTTATCAAGATAGAGGGATTGTTATTTAAAATAAAAAATATTAACATGTTTTAAAGTACATGATTTAAATAAGTGATTAATAATAGATAATTTTGTTTTGTCGAAAATATTAAATATTTTTGGGCTAAAAATATTAACATGTTTTAAAGTACATGATTTAAATAAGTGATTAATAATAGATAATTTTGTTTTGTTGAAAATATTAAATATTTTTGGGCCTAAAAATAGTAATTAATTTTTGATCAATTAAAGTGGAAAATTTATTTAATGTTTTCTGAAGTTTTTCTTTAATACTAAGCCCAAAAACCAAACAATTAAATGTCATAAAAACAAAAGTAAGCCCAAAACTCTATTCCATAAATAATCGTCAGTTTAATTTAAGTAATGCGGTTCAATCAATTATATAACTTGTATTATTTGTAACACTCTAAAAAGGGTCCAAATTTAATGACAACTTATACCGGTAGATAAAAAGAATGACTATATTTTAATAGAATATATCTAACTTAAGATTTATTTGTGCTTAGAAGGAAAAAAAAATAAAAATTAAAGTGTCTGATTCTAAATTACATACATAAATAACTAATGAATTTTTAGAAACTTTTGAACACATATCAATATTTACAATAATTAAAATATTTTATAAATTCTAAACAAATTTATGTTTTAGATTGATTGGATGGCAAACTGAAATTTATTTTAACGTGAGAGTTAACGTGAGTGCGACACCTAAGAAAGTGACTTCTCAAATAATATTATAGAGATATACAGGGTCTCTGACCACTTGGGCTTGAGTATAGTTTTGTTTAAAACCATCAAATGACAGGTGTTATTCATTGTATCATATGTTTGATGTGATATGTTGCCTTTGGTTTTTCAACATGCAACTCTAGTTATCCTTTTAAAACATTACCTTATAGCATTTCTAACTCATCGTTATTTTCACGTCAAAATATTATAATAAAAAAAAATATGTTCCAACTTATCTCTATTATTTTTTCAAAGAAAAACTTATCTCCATTTCTTCTTCTATAATACAAATTGCTGTTTTTCCTTTACTGTAGAGTTATATTTTTTTTGAAAGATGGATCTTTAACTTTTAAACTTTTATAATTATAACTAAAACAATTACTTTTAACGAAATACAGTTTTTATAAAAATAGAATCACCTTTGAGGTACATAATAGTCATTAAGAAACTTTAGTTTAAATAAAACTACAATTTTATAGATCTTGTAAAAATTAAAAGTAAATAAGATGATTTTGTAACATTTATAAATAAAATGTACTAGTTTAAAAATATTTTCTAAACTAGAAACTATTTATAAATAAAATATGTTTCTCCTCACCATCAATCGAATTGGATATAAGTATAGATATATATAGTCTCTAGGTCCTCGAGAGGAATCTCAAACGTCTTAAGAAGCATATTCTCGAAACAACCGGACAAGTAGAAGTCTTAGAATGGGGATTACTCAGCTGTACTTCTCCGATTTGAAGGCTGGTCGTTTTGAGGACAGAGTTGTCATAAGTCTCCTTCGTTTTTGGGAGGCTAGGAACATTAAGAAATCTGGTGAGCTTATGAGTGTGGACTTCATGTTCCTCAATGAGAAGAAAAGCTTTCTTTTAATTACTTTAATATTTTCGCAAGAGTATGTACCATTTAAAATCAACATTCACTGGGTGTGTAGAGCCGTCGACATTCCAATTTCCAAGATTACTGGAAAGAAAGTCATAGTTGGTCTTATCTTTGTAACCCCTCTAAACGCAACACAACTCTTTCTGTCGGAGGCGGTAAAACCTAGGTTAGATCTTGAGCTTGACGAGATTCATTTCTTGGACGCAATTCCTATAGTTTTGAGTTTGGTGATTGTAATTATTAAACACCTCCAGTAATGGGGGAAATTGTGAAAGTGCATTGATTTAGTAATGTTTCGTACTGTTATATGACTTACCTACACCTTACATAATCTTTGTTTCAAGGACAGTAAAGCACGTGATTAATACACACCTGCTGGTGGCAATATCTATCATTTAGATTGTTTTTTTGTAAGCTGCATTAACTTTGCAAACTCATAAATGGTGTGAGGTGGGAAGCTCGGAAGATGTGAAGCGTGAAAGTGAAACTGATGCCTGACTCAGAGAACTGGCTAGTTTTTCTTCGTTTTTTTTTCTATCATATATATGGCTTAACAATCTGATGTAGCGGAAGCTTCTAATGATAGGAATAATGATCCGATGATTCTGAGAATACCCGGAAAACTACGATAACACAAGGATCTTATTTAATCTAAGAATACCTAAGATCAATGTCTTCTTAAATTCGTTGAGATCACCAATGATCTACTGAAAACAAGGAACAAAAGAGAAATCTCTTAACTTTTATTAATCATCAAAAACTGAATACAAACTTAAAGACTAAACAACTATATATAAGAAAACCATAAAAATCCTAAAACAATAAATGTAAATATCCTATTAATAATAAATTAGATAATAATATTAAGAATATTTCCTAAATATTCTCTCCGCATCACAATCTAATGCTTTTCGAAAGGGTTTGGAGGAAAAACCATGGTTACAGGAGAACCACCACAATGCGATGACATCTAAAACAATTGGAGGCAATTCAGGTTAATAAAACAAGTTTCGGTTTTGATTTGTCTCTCCACATTAGTTTTTAAAAGCTACCCTTTTTCTACTTTCGCTCAGAGAAGATTGCTGGTTAGTAGTTTTGGTCACTTGTGAGGTAACAATGGTGTAGAAACGCTCGAGAGTTCTTTTGTGGGTTCAAAAAGAAATCATGGCAATGGTGGTGAAACTCATCTCGATGAGCTTAGCAGTGGAGACATTGGGGTATCATCATCCGTAACTTTAAACCATTAATTTTCCTATGTATGTATAATTATTTCTGCCACGAATTTTTTGGGTTCATGTATCTGTTAATGTCTTATGCAGAAAACAAATATGGTTTCAAGAGGAGAGTTGACGTGTCAAGATATTTACGGTTCAGAGGCATTGCTGAATGAAGAAGCTGAGGATGGTTAAGGTGATTGGGAACCTGTGCAGCAGAAGATGCCAGTTGAGTTTGTGAAATGGTGTTGCTTCAATTGCACTATGGAAAATCCTGGTGATATGGTTGCTTACTTTTCATGTTTGAATACTTTTGTTTCTGAATTTATCATTACCACTGTCTGCTACTATTTGTCTGAGGCATGGATATTTTGCATCTCTGTTATTTAAAAGACACTGGCTGTTGGAGGTAAGATGTTAATTCTTTTTGCTTCTTTTTGAACTTGTCGTTAAGATATATTGCTATTTCGGTTCCACATTATCTAACTTCAAGTAACACTGAGCGTGCTCATGTCTCTTTTATCTTGATCTTAGGAAATTTATCTGCAACTAGCTCAACAGCTGTTGGTTTCGAGGAGATAATGTTGCTGCACTCAGAAGTATGATTTTGTTACTGATATAGTTTCGTGATATATCTGTTGACGTCAACACAATTTATTTATCTCCAAAGCTTTTCTTCATGCAATTATTTCGCAAGAGCTCCAGTTGGTTAGCTGCTACTTAACTCTCTTAGAGAAATTTTCTGATCTAGCTAAAGAAAATTTCTCATGACAAAATGTTTAATTAGCCGGGGAACTTAAAAGCTCACTATGTTTACGCTCAGGTTAGATTGGTAAGTTTCTCAAATGTGATGTCCCGAGGTTAGATGTCTTTAAACTTGCAACTAAAGGTATATTCACACAGCAGTTTGGGTGACCTTGACATGAACTGCTCCACAAGTTCGACAAAGTATGGGGGTGTTCA